CGCAGATGCCTTTTGCAGAATCATTGATTGAAAATAATTAATTAACTGCGATTGATTAACGGATTACTCATCGATCACCTAACCCATCAATAAAAAATCAATCGATTAGCCAAACAAACAAGTTCTTGAGATCAAGATGACATCTTGATGAGCAGACACCTCTTGAGGTCTGCTCGGATACCGAACTGTCGCATGCCTTTATGGCAAAGACCAGAACCAAGAACCGACCCAAAGAGATAGAGCAATGATAGCACAGCAGAAGATTGATATACCACGATCTGACTCAAAATGACTCAGACTGACTGCAACACACTCATCATCATCAGTCAAGGTGAGAAGGCATGGCGCTTAACACAGACGAAGAGCGCTGTGCCAGAACACCATCCACAGATGATGAGGAGGGGGAAGAGACGAAGGAGGAGGAGATATGGAGGTGCCGTCAACTCAAATGTTGCTCATGAAGACTCCAAAAATAGTCCCCCAGTGCCTCTGTCCACATGTCAGTCTGAACTCAATGTCACCAAGTCTCAAGTCCGAACTCTCTCTCTCTAATAGTAGCAGAAGAAGAAGAAGAAGGATAAGAGGGAGGGAGGGCAAAGACGAGTGGTGAAGCTGGAGGGAGACGGAGAAGAAGAGGAATCCCCTCGTAGTCTCGCGAAGGTGGAGCCAAGATACTAACCAGCGTAAAGGTGTCTCCTTGGAGCTGTGATGCAGGTGGAAGGCACCCGGAGACGATCAGGAGCTATGGCGCCAAGTAAGTCTGCAGGTACGTCGCACATACCCTGGTCTCCGCCCTCAACCTCTAGCAGCTTGACTACTCTGCCTACTCCTCTAGCTGAAGCAGCACTGCTGTGTAGACCGCAAAGTCTAACTTTGTGTGTCTAGAATGACGCTGGGCCAGCTATATATGACGCTGGGCCTACTAGTGCTATAGGCCAAAGGGAGGTGAGTCTGGCGCCCAAACTGGATCTTAACCTGGCGCCCAGACCTCACTACAGTCCAAAACAGAAGCGAAAGGTCTGGCGCCCAAACTGAGGCTGAAACTGGCGCCCAAAGTAAGACTGCCACTATCTGGCCTAGGGAAAGGCCACTGGACCTGCATTGGTCCCCATCTGCTGGCAGATATTCTCGGACTACACAAGTACGACCCTGAACTGGACCGAAACAGGGACTGAGGCCGACCAAAAAAAACAATGCTGAGGCCTTAAGAAACAAGGAACCCCCCAATCCCCTAGTCAATCCCTAACCTACTACCGAGCTCATGGGGGCCATGTGGTGCGGACCACAGTGTGTGTGTGTGTGTGTGTGTGTGTGTGTGTAACCCGCATAATAAGACATGATTACGGTATGATACGGAAACTGCATCATAATCAAGCTCCGAAATAACATATCGGCGCACCTTAAGAAAACTTGTAGGCGTGGTGCAGACGCATCCGATACTCGGAGGTGGGGACTGACTATGCCGGACTACACGAGCAAGCTCAGGAACAAGAACTTGTAGGCGTGGTGCAGACGGAACCTATACTGTAAGGTGGGGAATGACTATGCCCGACTACACGAGCGTCTATGCTCCCACTGGACTTTGCGGGCGAACTGGAACACGCACGATCAAACAGACACCACAAGACGGGGAAAAGAAGCACAATAAGGCAAAACAAAAGGCAAGGAGGCAACGGCAACAAACTGCAAAAAGGCACAAGGACTGGGGGCCCCAGGGGAGGTGGGAGGGCAGACCATACATAAATGCAAAAAACAAGGAAAGACAAAAAAAAAGTGCAATTACAGAAAAATACCCCAAGCATAAGACATCAGGCAGCAACAAAAGACAATGGGTGGAAGGCACGGGGGAGGCGGGAGGGCAGACGTAACTCAACCACAGAAAGCTTGCAAAGCAGAAATACAAGTCCCCCAAAACAGCGAACACCGAAAAAAATAAAAAACAAAGAATCTCCATATTTGATGGTTTGGGTCATGAACCCTTTGACCCTTGTTGAAGGCAGACTGTCCCCAAGCGGAACATAGCAGCGGGCAGCAACCCTGTGGAGCACCAGGCAACACAGTAGAGGCAACACGGCTGCACAACGCCAAAAACAACTGCAAGGAACGATATGGCACGCAAGGCATGCAGCGCAGCAATCGTGTAGTGAAGCACAAGACAACACAAACAAGGCAACAGCACTGCAGAGGACGACAGGGCGAGCGGACCAGCTGGTCGGTAACCGTGGAGCGGAGCACAAGGCACCAGGGACAAGGCAACTAACGTACAGGGCACACAAGCGGCAAGCACGGAAGGCACAACCAGCAGATGAGCAGCATGGCAGTGGAGCAGTGAAGCGCAAGGCAACACCAACAACACAGCCACACCGCACAGCGAACACATCAACCTGCAAAGAGCCACATGTGAAGCAAGTGGGACAGGCAGCAGGGCAACGGCAGAACGCAGACGAGGACGTCCACACATCCAACAGGAAGCAAAGCAGCACATGACCTACTCACATCACGGTTAAACCCCGCAGACTGTTGGTTCCCACCACCCACTGAGCCACAGAGACACTTCGACGAGCATCCATCATCACCCATAGGCAACACAGACATCCCGAACCGAGCGGCCGCCCTAAGAGTGCAGTTGGCACTCCAAACGAGGAACCACCGACTGTTTGGCAATACTCAAGGGTGCTCAGTTGGGCACACAAAAAAAAGAAAAAATCAGAGGGAGGACAGACAACAGGAAAAAGACTGACAGACA